ACCACATTATCTACCTCGGGAGCTAACCGACATGCCCGCTTGCCCTCGTGGCACAACGAATTCCACTCCCCGCACACGCACAGAAGCCGGTGCAGTCGTAGTATTGTCGGTCATATCATCCAGAGCCTCCATGAGACTCTCTAACGAGTCATAGGGCAAGTCCTGCGTGTTCCTACCATGCAACACCGGAGCGGTCAACGTGGAAAACTGATCGGTGACACCTGCCTTCACGGCTACCTGCAGCGTACCGTCCTCCGCAAAACCAACCATCTGAACACCTACTTTCAACTAACACCTTCATTCAGGTCTTCAAGATAAATAATGAGCTTTGAACGCGAACAGGAGAGCAGCGCGCGGCTCCGACCTCGGCGATGCTCGCACAGCCCTCACCGACCACCCGTGCGGCGTCGGCGATCCCCCGTGGCCGAGTTCCTCGAACGGTCCTTCACTCGTCGGGGATGCGGCGGCAACCCCCCCGACGGTGGCAACACGCGTGTGGTTCGTCAGACGGCAGCGGCGACACTGCGAACGAACGCGGACGCGACACGGCGCGCGTGACACGGCGGAGACCGGCCCGCGCCGGCGACAGCGGCGACGCGACGAACGCGGCCTGACCCGTGGGCGCAGCGGCGAGACGACGCTCGCGGCTTCGAGTGCTTCGGCGTCGGCGCGACGCTGAGAACGCTACTCGGAAGACGGCACACAGCCGACCACGTACAAGCAAGCTTGATACCGATGACGCCACTGAGAGGAGAACCGATACCGCCTCTTTAGTTCTGCAGGTTCTAGCTTGGACGTGCGTTGCACTTACTTGCGTTCAAGCGTGACTTTGTGTGTGCTCTACCTCACTCAGCAGTGTGTCTCTTGTGGACTCTTGGTTGACTCAAGCTTGTTCTGCTCACAGCTCTGTACGGTGAACTGAGGGTAGGAAGCATGAGTGATCTGGTGTGTGAGGCTTAACGGACCCAAGCTTCCGGACGGTCCTACCTCAAAGTCGTTATACACATCATAGACTATTACTATGCACACCCCATTGATGACCAGCATCTCAGCACTCAGCACTCTGATTGGTACAGCTTATGCCCTTGCTTGGTGTATCTGTAGCTATTAACTACATACACCGTATACTTTACAGCAGCCCTTGGTCATCATGTGTCTCTGCTAAGATGACCTCGGTCCTTGGCTATTATCCATAGGCTACATTGGTCGGTCTAGTCGACAATGCACGCACAGAATAAATACTGACAGTTTCCCGAGTTCAAGAATAACGCCTCGCGAACTAGACTGAAACCCATTGTTACCGCAAGAATTAGCATTCGCAGGAGTTATAACTGGATTTGCATCTTTTCACGTACGTTTCGATAAAATGAGAGTTCTGCGGTGCCCCCCAAAATATTCTCAGCAGCACCGGAGTCCAGTTCTCTCCAGTTCTGTTGTTGCTGGGTCCCGCTGCGTATTGAAGGAGCAGGACGGAGAGCAAAGATGCCGAGGAGCATGCTGGGACACAAGAACGATGCGCTGATGGTTGCTGCTCCGCGAGCAAGCATGGCCGAAGTGGTAAGGATGGTGTGGTGACACATGTTCCAGCAGGAACACGCAGCCAATTTCTCTCCGCAGTCCGTCTCGTGTTCCGTTGGCCGACGGGGCATCACTCTGTGTAGGCCATGCTTCTTCTCCAGGAGTTTGTGACAGACGTTCTTCTCTTTGATGCCATAGGGTCTTCTGTCCTGCTACGAATGCTGTCGTCGTTGCAAATGGTGCAGGGTACAACGAGAATAGCAGCTAACAATGACCTACGCAATATACCACCCCCCAGGTGCTGCTGGCAGTTCGCGCGGCAAAGGAAGCTGCTGTAGACTGTAGACCCCCGATCCTCTAGCTGTTACGGGTTTTATTGACTTGGGTGTCGGGAGGAATGCACCAGTATGTACTGACAACCGCGGTGCTGCAGGCGTAAGCGGGTGTTTACTATTCCGACAGCAGTAATTATACCGCAGTGCTCGTACCACCAAGGTACGTACATAGTTTGTCTACAGTGTTTACTTGTCTATATACTGCTGTCTGCAGGCATGTCGTCTACCCATGGGAGCATTCTTCTTCGACTAGCATTTGTACATTTTTTCTCTTCTTCGTCGCCCAGCGCCTTGGTATGGTGGCTCATTTCTCATGGGTCGTATTTTGTTGCCCAACTCACTGGCCGATGCTCCACGACAGCAGCAATCTGGGCGTGATGATAGCGAGCACGTCGGGCGGTAGATTCAATCACTTCTCCTACACCGAATACTGCCCCTGTACGTATTTTGTCTGCTCTTGGAAGCGTAGACGAGTTGCTCGTGATCGGAGCGCTACTGTACGGTACACGTTTTGTTGTTGCGGCCACTACTGATGTGGTCACCGCCGCCAGCCTCTGCTGGCATGGCACACCGAGGATACAGCAGTACCCCGCCGTTTTTTTCGAAAACAGGCAGTAGGTTATCTGGTTCGAAAGCATGTTGCAGCTGCAGCTGCTGTTGCTGTTGCAGCTGTGGGAGCAATGGTATTTTCATGTCATCTTGGTAATATGCTTTCCACGTGGGTGCGGCGTCTTTGATAGCACACCTCCCCGTGGGCTTTATCAATTTTCATGTGGTTGCAAACCTCGAACGCGTCGCGGAAACAAAAATGACAAAAATAAACCAGGAGCGGGCGGGGCCGGCTCAGCTAGCGGACTCAAAGCGCTTCTGGAAGATCGAGAAGCAGGAGGGTGACCTGACCGGGCAGCTGGGGGACCTGGAGCAGGGGACGAGGCAACGGAACCGAGAGTTCGAGGCTAAGCTAAGGGCGATCGCGGAAAGAATCCGGGGGTGAGTGATCGGAAACGGCTTTGGGAGAGAGGACAAACAGCTTTGGGTTGCCTTTGGCTAGACATGGTTGGGGATTTACTTTCATATGTAAGACTCTATCAAGATAGGAACCAAGCAGGCAGAACGACGAATCCTGCCGTGCTACAAATCGAGCAGTCTTGCGCCGTCGCATCTGTCCCGATGCCGCTGTTGCTCAGCCTTGCCGTTCGTACCTCGGCTACTTCCCTCTCCGCAATCACCGTGCCACAGGCTTGAGGTCGGGATCGAGCGAGAGGTCCAGGAGCGTGAGGAGACCCACGCGGTCATGTTCGCGGGTTTGCAGGAGAAGCTGAAGGCGGCGGCCGCGACAGTAGAGGCCGACGCGGAAACTTCCATTACCGATCGATTCGAACCGGGGCTTTCCGAACACGTTAGTCTTTTTCTGTTCTAGGAGGACAGATTGCTAGACACAGCAGTATGATTAGGCGGCCGAATTGTTTGTGAAACGGTGTGTCGCTTACGACCGCATTGTTTCAGCCATCTGTTGTTTCTACCCGCTGGTTGGCGAAAGCACGATGCGCTTCATTCCGGAATTCGCGAGATCCAGGATCTTTGGTCGGAGTAGACTATGGCCGTAGATAGATGACCACCAGCATGTACGACCCCCCGACTGTTTTGCGCATTTTTCGAATATTTTTGTCATCCCACATGGTGATGAACATCAGTGTGTATCCCCCCGACTGTCCTGCACTACTTTTTCGGAATAATTTTCTTCACCCTACGTCATGAATATGTACCCCCCCGACTGCTGTTGTGCCCATTTTGGAAATACTTGTTGTTTGTTTCACCCCTAAAGATGGAGAGAATAGAAGCCGATAACGCGAGGGTGGAAGAGTTCGTGCACGTGACAGTCCCGCGGATCGTCGATGAGCAGAGCGGTGCCGTTACACGAAAGCTGCAGAAGGCCCGGGAGACGTTCGACATCGAGAACGCTAAGATTGCAAAGCGAGAGCGGAAGGTCTGTCTTGTGCTGGGATGGATCATGCTGTGGTTGCTTTTTTGTAGCCCTCTCGTCGGTTCTTGTGACTCTCACCTATGTAGTGTTTTTTTGTGGGGTTCCCTTCCTGTGCTGGATGGATTATTGTGGTTGGTTTTTTCCATTTTCGTGATTTCTTGCATCTCTCACCTAATTGGTTGTTTGATTGGGGTTTGGGGGTAGTGGTTGAGGTAGTCGTTCAAGGCTGATCGCGTCGGCGGTTTCCTCTTTCTGAGGCCGCATCGCCCTGCAAAAAGACTTGGCGGTCAAGAGCGGGTGCCGCTACATAGATGATGCTCCTAGGCGGACAGGTGAATGGCCATGTGTTTGGCCCACCAGAGCTCAGCCGCCGAGGCCTTTCCGTTTTCGCCGCCGATGGTCTCCATCCATAGGCGCACGTCCAGCGTGTGGAAAAATGCCGTTAGCCGGGGATGCAGCTTTTCGGTCGAGTTTTCGTGGCGGTGGCTTTTTAGCTGTTGCTGCGACAGTAGTGCTCCTGGGAAGTATCAGGGACCAGAGCACCCCGACTGTCTGGCCTTCGCTTCTTTCAGCGTTTAGGACATTCGTAGTCGGACAACGTTTTCGATCCGTTATCGAGGAGGGGGAGGGGGTTGGTTGTGCAGCAAGTTTCACACACAACGATGACTGTTGAATCTCGGGCATAGGTTTTCTGACACGTTCATGCCTCTGCTATCTCTCTCTCTCTCTCTCTCTCACACACTCTCTCTCTCTCTCTCTCGTCCACTGCTCCGCCCTTTTCCTCGTCCCTTACGTTCTCGCCACCCCTCCCCGTCACACCTTCTCGTTCTCCCGTTGCGAACGGCTTTCTTGCTCTCTTGATCGCGTGCTCCCTTGCTCTCTTGCTTGCGTACGTGCTTGTTTTCGTTCACGCGCGCGTTCGTGGGTGTCGGAAACCAACGCGACAGCTCGTCTCGCGGTTTGAGACGCACGTCAAGGGAACTGCGCAGAGCTTTGAAGACGAGGAGGCTACGCGAGTGGGTAAGATCGGGGTAGGGGGGGAAACAGTGGACGTGTTTCCTTGATGGTTTGGTTCGAGGGCACATCCAAAGTCGAGATCGAGCAACCGGTGGTCAGTTGTACCACACCGTATGAGCCGGTTTTGAAAGCTCGACTACTCCCGAGAAGATGCCGCAATGAAATGATACGTTTTCGGGGAGCTCTCGACGAGACGTTCAAACGCTGCAGCACCGTCACTGATTTTTGCCGCAGAGTACTAGAGCTTTGAAGCTCGGTCCACTGAGTGTGGTATCTTGGCACTACCGCACTATTACTGCCGTCTGGTTTCCGGTGGTTGGTCACCACCAGTATTGCCTTTTCTTCCAATAGGTTCACTCTCGAGACGTTCGGTGTCTTTCTGATACGCTTCCGTTCCGTCTCTCGATCCTGTACACTGCGTTGCCGACCAGCATCCAATGCGCACGGATCTTTCGCATGCGGTCGCCAACGCTTGATGCGCAACCCTCTTTTAAGGCTGGCATACCTTGTTCTGTAGCTCTCCAAAAAAGAAAAGATTATCCAAAACAGAAACACAACAACACACCCAACGCTTGTGCGTTTGGCGTCCTGTTTTTTGCCACCCCTGCTGGTGCTCATGCTGCAATTGCTGTCCCTTTTTGCAGGCAAGCTTTGGCTCCTGGGCGAGGATCTGCAGGCGGTCGAGCACATGGATGATCGAGGCGACGAATCCCTCCAACTCTCGATTGTCAAGACAATAAAAGGTACAACGTGCATTCCTGGGGTATTGTGGACAGCTCCTCTCTTGTGTCACCCCGGCTGGTGCAGATATCGTATGCCGGACTGTGTAAACTGGAGCTCGGAACAGATGGGGACGAAGGACACAGTGTTTCTGTTGCCAGGCGCGGATGCCTCAATCTATCGATTCGGACGCATTTGACGTTTGCGTCTGGCGCAGAAGGAAGGCCTTGTTGATTTTGGTGTTGGTGATGACGCTGCCATTGGTGTCGTCGTTTGCTGTGCTGTCTTTCCTGCTGCGTTGTTTGTGGTCGCTGCAGCCGTTCGGATGTCGTTCCGAAGTCGCGCACTAGTAGTGTACATGTCCTTCTAGGAAATCTACGTGTATTCTTCGTGTTCTGTGCTGAGCCGTTCATGAAGGAGAGGGTGCCATTCGTCATGGCGGTAGGATCGATCCCCAATAACGTTTTACGACGCGAAACGTTTGGGCCTTAGTAAAGCCGTTCGACAGCGCATCGCGGATGTCGAAGTAAGAACAAAATGCAACACTCCCCGATTTTTCTGAATGAGGCTCACAAAACGTTTTCAGAGGCAACCAACTAGCAGCAGCAACCCTTTGCTTCAAGCGGCAGCAACGCTGACGGGCGAACAAGAATTGTACAGCGTGGTGTGGGTCAACCCCATTCTCGCACATGCGAACAAATGGACGATTCCTCGTTGTGGGGTAACCACTCTCACCCCGCCCGCGAAACCTCAGTTGTCCTTTCTACCACCACCTCGGCCCTCTCCGCCCACCCCGCAGCGACCCGCGGAGACGTGGCGACGTTGAGTAAGGAGCGAGGTTACCAGGACGGATTGCTGTTGGACTCGCTGGCGCACGCTCAACACAAGCTCCAGGTATGCACGTGCCAACGGCTATTGTTGCAGCGTGTGCAAATGTTCGTTGGAGTCGGCAGAGAATATCTGTGGTGGTTGGTATGCTTTTGTGTCTTGCATTTTGTTTTTGGCTCAGTTTCCGAGTTGGCATGGTTTTGGACATCATCGAACAATGACAAGGCCAGTAAGAACGAGGGCCTACGCATATTTCAAAGGATTTCGCAATCACCACATATTTTGCTAACTTCGGGATCTTGGATGTATCTTCTGCCCTTCCCGAGGCCATACTGTAGCCTCCGCCGCAGAGATGCTTCTCCTGCTTTGTTTTCGTCATCTTGTTGTGTTTTGAGGGGGGGTCCGGGGATGATTGTGCGAAAAGCTACTGTGGCTGTTTCTCAGCCGGAACCCCCATCACTGATACGATGAGGTGTGGAAGAAGATATGCATTCCCGGGTCTTTTCGTTCCTCTCCTGACGCTCGGCCGCCAACAGCCGTCTTTTCTTCTAGGATGTTCCGGAATTCAACTTTACCTCCGAACCGACAATACGTACTTCCCGCCGTTTAACCCGCTTATCGCCAATCCATGGTTTCCGAAGCCCCCCAGACATAAATGGCCGACTACCGACGCCGTGCATGCTCATACTTGCCCCCTCGCTCCTCCCTGCTGACTCCGCCTTGCCTCCAGCGATGTATTCTAGAAACGTTCGGGACAAAGGAAGAGGACGACGACTGCGATGACTCGCGACCAGGGGGGCATGTGGAATGAAGGGGAGGGTACGCCGGAGCGTGTACAGGGAACCTTGCATCGCACTTGCGCATTACGCTCTTAAAGGGTTGGGCGTGCGCTTTCTGTTTCCTTTGCTTAGGGGGGGTGTTTGTGCTTTGCGGCGCGGGCTGTTTGTAGGCGTCGAAAGTGTGGGGCCCGGAAGGAATCGAGAATGGAGGGGAGAGAATGAAAGAAGCAACGGGGAGACTCTGGGTCGTTGTTGATCTCGTGAGCGTGTTTCGCCGCCCACTGTAGGCATGAACATTTTTTTTTTTTTGTCTTCACTTCGAATCAGCGCTCACAGCACTTGTGCCGTTTTACTCCAACCCGTGGTCACACAGAAGAGCCCCTCTCTACCCTCCCCTCCTGCGGTACTTTGAACATTGGCCGTCCCCAAAATATTTTCAAGCCCACGTTCGTTGCTCGTTTGTGGGAAACCGTCGGCCCCTTCACAGGCACCTTCGTTCTTCCACAGCTTGATGTGCGCTCCGTCGAATGCGATTGTATGTGAAAGGCAGCATTGGTAAAGCCTGACTGGCGGTTCAAACTTTGGCAACGTTTGTGAAGAATCCCTTTGCCAGAAGGGAGCCATGTATCCATATACATAGTTCAATCGTGGTGGTCTCACCAATTGTCGACCCCTAAGGGCGTGTACTAACATCCCTTTTCTGGACAGGGAACACGGAACAGGGAACTGGGAATTATTGTCTAATTGGTCAGCCACACAAAATAACTTTCCTGGAAACAAGAATTGGAACACACGTTCCCTGTTTGAGGTGGTTACGCCGCACCAACAGACCATAGGGAACGTGGAGCACAGGCTCTTCGGCGGCACTTGAGGGCGTGGTGTGCGATCACTCTCGGGCATGTGGCTGCCACAGGTGCTGCATGCTACCAGTTCAAGCCGTGTAGGCATTGCCACCATCATCAGGCGTCTTGCACGCAAAAAAGCGGCGGCGGATGCTCGTGTAGCCGTTGTATGGGGGAACAGAAATTGTCGAAGAATTGGCAAGCTGCCCATGACCACAACTCAGAAAGCAAGCCTTCCAAAGCTCTGTCGAGGGTGCGGATTGCCCTAGCGCATGTGTTTGATGTGCGCTCGTCAACAGCTTCCCTCTACCCTCCACTCGTCTCTCTGCTGCATCCAATGGTTGTATTTGTTACCTTTGAGTACCTGCGGGCCGCACGCGCGCACTGAGATGTTCCGTTTCCCTGGAAATACGGTGTATGTTTGGACACAACGACACGCACCGCGAACAGGGAATTCCGAGTTCCATGTTCCCTGTTCCCTGTCCAGCACAGGGACGTTAGTACACGCCCGACAATAACCACACAGCGACCTTTCGGAACGGTAAGACCACAGATGCGGCATTACTTCTAGTGCGACTAGTGCGACTAGTGCGACTCCTCCCGATACACACGCCGCACATTGACCATGCCTTGTTGCCCATGCTGGGCACAGAACTCCGCCTTCTTGCTACCGTCTTTTCCATACGACGGACGCTTCGTGCACCCTGGATGGCCGCATTTCTTACGCGCCACATCGACCATGCCCTGCTGCGCATGCTGCGCACAGAACTCCGCCTTCTTGCTACCACCTTTTCCATACGACGGCCACTTCGTGCACCCCGGGTGACCGCACCTCTTGCTCACGACATCGACCATACCCGCTTCCGCGTGTTGAGAGCAGAACTCCTTCTTGCTGCCGGCTCTACCGTATGTTGGCTGCTTCATGCACCCTGGATGACCGCACTTCTTGCTTCGAACGTGGACCATGCCCGGCTTGGAGTGCTCCGAGCAAAACTCGGCCTTCTTGCTGCCTGTTCTATGTGTACCATATGAAGGCTGCTTGATGCACCCTGCATGGCCGCACCTCTTCTTCGTGACGTTTGTCATCCCTGGCTTGGAGTGCTTGGAGCAAAACTCCGCCTTCTTGCTGCCATCTATGCCGTACGATGGGCGTGCTGTACAGCCGTGCTCCTGGCAGCATCGTTGTCCCTTGCCGTGATATCTGGCGGTCGTACACGATGCCTGCTGAAAATCGTTATGGCAACCACGATCGACATATATTTCAGAGTAAAATACAGGTCGATGTCTCAGCAACCATGCGAGCGACATCGGGCAGCAGGGAGAGAAATTCGACTTTACAGCGCACACGTTCGGAAGTTACCCTGTGCTTGTCGCCGGGGTAGAGGCACTGTCCGGTGTTACCATATGCCCTGAGCTTTTCGTCGCCATGCTCTTGATTTGAAACGTCTATGGAAAGACAGCAGCGGCGTGCTGAAAACCAATTGGTTGCCTCTCACGCGACAACGCATTGACAACGCCTTGAACTGGAGGTCTTCTTCGTTAGGTACTTTGAGTGTGCTGTGCAGTCGGTGAATCAAGTGCGATCTCCTCCCACACTATTCCTCGACCTTTGGTTTCTCACCGAAGGTTTTCCGCCGCGCATCATCTGTTGGAAATACAGTAAATCGATCTATGGGAGATCTTCCCTCGCTTAGTTAGTGAACTTCACTCAGAATACACCCTGTTCCTCATTGCACCAAAGGAGTCGGTAGCACGAAGTGCTTGTGTGCACATGTGGCTTCTCGGTTACCAGCAGTATAACAACAGCGGTTTCAAAGTCTGCGTGTAGCCCCTTTTGGCGTTCTTCGAATACAAACCTTTCGCGAGTAGTTTGCAGGAACAGCCGGAAAAGGAGTCAACACACACGGCGCAGACTCACTAGACTAGAGATGCAAGCGTCGACGATTTCCCCTCTGCATAGCATAAGGGTGTCTCAAGACTGGATAGCACTTTGACCGGTGCTCGATTCCGTCAGCGGTGTACTACTGATCGGGTGCCCGGCAGCAATCTTCCCGAACCACGCCACCACCAACTGACTACCAATCATCCGCTGGTCGGAACGCAAGCCAACAGTGAGGAGTGACGCGGCATGCATGCACCTATTCGAAAAGAAACGCAAGAGGATCGAAGCATCCACCGAACTCACCGCCTCGTGTGTTGCCGCCGTCCCACCACCCATTGTTCCTGGTGCGGAGGCCTTCCGTTGGCTCTTGAATGGCACTCTTGTTGGGCTGGCAATCAAACCCGATACATACCCAGGCGAGAAGTAACCAAAATACAGGGAGGGGTTAGAACGTCAGGAGAGATCATGTACAGATCCAATCGAGAACTGCCGCCATGGGTCAGGGCATTGGGCATAAAGTCGCCCCTCAATTTTCTGTACTCGCACGAATGCAATAACACTGCCCGTGGACGCGTGATGGATTATTCAGTGTACTGTAGGTCATATCTTCAGTTTGCGGATACTCTTCAACGACTAGAACTCCCGCCTGCGACGAGCAACGTCTGAAACACCCAGGAACCAATCGAAGCTAAAGAGGTGAGGTAAAGAGGTAAGGTGACATGGTGGTTCGATCGAGATGACTATGATGCATCGATATTGAGAATGCAGATGCCCAGCTGTGGACAATGGGTCCGTCTTAATTGTCGATCGTTTTTAATATCCGGCGGGATAGAGATGGGGACAGAACGCCTAGGAAGAGCCGGCGTTTGAGAATCGGCCCCGTCTGAGACTACCTTCATTCGCGGGGGAGGGAGTTGACGTTTGCCTACGAAAAACAATAGGAAAACGACCCAGCAGGGTTTACGCGATGAAAAAAATTGGCTCAGTCGGGTACATCCTTGAAATCAACGTGCAATGAGTCTACCGTGTTGGAAACCCCCTGACATGTCACGAAAAGACCGGGGTGTATAACGTGCAGGAGGTGAGTTTTACGATCTGTTTGGTACTCTTTGTGCAAAACCGGACGTTGAACCTAGGTTCCTCACGTCGGATGTGTCACACACCGTGGCCGGCCCAACCACCCGCGACCAACGCACTGCCTAGCGGCCGCGAACTGGGTTAAGACGCGGCTGAGCCTTGTTGTCGAAATGCGAAACGGGGAGAGGGCGCTGAAAGGAACCGACCACCCCCACCAACTCTCGACCAATCAGAGGGTGAAAAAGCACATACAGATGAGAAGAGTCACTATTAGGCCGTGATGTTCTTCAAAATTCCCTTCCCTCACAGGAAATATGACCCTTGCATCTGCAGTGTTGTTCGGCCGGGATTTTGTTTTTGCTTCACGGGGACACCGTGTTGCCAAAATTCAGGAGGACTTGCGAACCATCGCCAAGCAATAGGCCATCCCGCTTGGAGCCATACTAATTTCACACCTCGACTGGGACTTTGTTGTTTTGGTACATAGAATGTCAAACTGTCAAGCTCCAACAGCAGGTGAAGCTTCGATGGGTGCCCTCTACAGGTGCCATAGAACAGAATCGTTCATTCTACTGTACTATTCTCGTATCGCAGAAGTCCTTACGACGCATACATCTTGATTTTTTATTCTTCGTTATAAGTCAGAAGGCTGTGAATTTTTGTCCCAAATTTGACTATTATATTTATATAGACTATTCAAACATATTTGTGCCTTTTCGCCCTAAATGATCCAATACGGCCTTTTAGCGGATGAAACACACACACACACATGCTGCGACCATTGTCGGTACAGCGTAAAGCGCATGCTTCCGTCGCGCTCATTGGCGAGATTGCGGTGGGACACGTCCGTAAAGACAGACGCAAACCATAAAGACGCGAAACACTTTTTTTATGTCCAACTTGCGCCTGTTTTACATCACACTGGAGAGGTACGATCTCACACACGACCCACAAACCACCAGCACGCGACGCTACAAGTTGGGTTAGGAATGGGATGTCACCTCCTGTGGCGGGTTGTTTGCAAGCCGTCGCTTAGTGCCAATTGAACATCATCCACAACAGCAGTCAACCAATTTCACCATTATTGCGCCGCATCATTGGTTCTCGCGAAACGATCGTAATTCCACCGCAAACCGCAAACCGCCCGTTACACACAGAAGACTACCCATTCAAGATATACCCACATTCATCATTCATCCAACAGTTGCGCATCATACGTACGACTGTTGTCGCCTCTCCTCCTCTGTTTTCATATTGAACGGTGTACCTTTCGGCGTGCTTCCCTCACAGAGACGATTCTCCAAGAGTCAAAATCGACAGACGTTATGGGAGGAAGGCCACCAAGACCGCTCGCCGAAACGCGACGGCTTTTCACGGTCATACGACGATACCGCCCACAGGTTTACGTTCAAACCGATCTACAGCAGTGCCTACACGCCCAACACGGTAATGTGATCCCGGTGGCCGTCCCACCCCAGGGTGGGCGGCCGATCTACAGCAGTGCCTACACGCCCAACACGGTAATGTGATCCCGGTGGCCGTCCCGCCCCAGGGTGCGCGGCCGCCATACCCTAGTTGGTGTTATGGCAGCAGGGTCCGTCCCATCAATATGTCTGTTAGTCTACACACGAAGTAGTCCCACTGTCAGTTTCTTCTCTTTTTTTTTTTTTCCCGGCCACCTCGTGTCGATGTCTGTGAATTGCGGGGTCTCGGGAGAAAAAACGTCTTAGCAATGGTGGCATCTCATGTTTTCCAATTTCTCCATCCTAGTTCAAGTCGCACGGGCTTCCGTCAAAGCTGACACGCCCGGGAAACCTGCCTGTTCAACCCTCATAACCAGCACAGACTGCGACAGGACGAGACCACTGGCAAACTCTCTCTGTAGTATGTAAAAGTACTGTGTGGTCTTGCTTCGGCAGCCGCATAGACTCAGGACCCAGTGTAGCGCCAGGTGGGTGAATGCGCGACAGCGCTTGCCCCGGGACGATATGGGCAAAAAAAACATATCGGGGAAAAAGTCTGAATACTCGGGACGTATTTATCCAACGCTGTTTTCCCTACCCGAACGATCTACGCATTCATTCATTCCCCTTCACTTCTTCAGCGGGAAGGAGTTTTCATGACTAAAGCTGTATACTCGAACATGCTTTCACACGTGACCGCAGTGGGCTGTGTAGCGGTGTCGGCACCGAAAGGGAAAAAAATCAAAATCAAAATCAATATCCCTCCAAACATGTCATGAAAATTGCCGCGCGACCAATGAAAACAAACGTCTGTCGCACAGCCGGATAAAATCCCCAAGCACGCTTTCAAGTCATCTGGCGTACCCGACAGAGTGTGCCGCGTGCGTTTGCGCTATGGTGCCGTGATTCTTCTGGGCATCGGCAGTACGAGCAGTAGCAAGAATCAATCAATCGTGCTTGTTCTTGCGTTAGCGTTGCGTTCCATTCGCCTCCCATCTGTCGCCTACATGTAACTTCATCGGCTCGGGGCGCTCATAGCTTCGAGCTTAACCAGTTTTGGTGTATGTCTATTGTACTGTATGCCGTGTCCTGTCGGGCTAAGAGTTCTACCTGCTGAAAAGCATCGTGGGCCTGTTCATGTTGGCTATCCGTCCCGACACCGACAGCAACTGAGCTGCGACGGGATATTGGCCACATCGTGGTTAACCCAATGCACACCTTTTTTTTTGCATGTGAAGGCAACAACAACACCCAACAAACAGAGGATAACCACTAAAGAGCGGCAGGGTGAACGTTTGTGTGTGCACGCTGTCGCAGTGCTGGCAGATGCCAAGAAGCGTGTTTGAATGTGTCCCGAGATGCCGGCAGTCTGTTGCCGCCTGAGAGAAATTCCCGGTTTCCCTCTGATCTAATCTGAACGTCGGGGTAGTTCTTTATGCTAAACGAGCATGGCTCCCTTTGCATCCTTCTATGTGACTATGCATGATGGATAAAATACCGGCCATGTCCACATAACGCGGAGACCGAGCAGACGAGGGGAGGCGCAGATGTTGGGTAGAAGATCCCGGGAAACGGATTGTTACCCGTTTGAACAAAGTAAAGAGAGAAACTGAAAATATAAGGATTACTAATACACGCGGTTGGTCCCCGCATCTCGTGCGGTAGCTACACTCGAACACCACTCGCGTTCACCTTTTAGCGTGGTTGTGTTGCCTTCTGCTGGCTGTCCAGGCGCTGTATCGGCAGAGTGCCTTGGCCATACTCCCGAGCTTGCGCTTGCCTGGCCTTGCCTGGAGCGAGTCATCCGACAACTGCAATGACTGGGCCTCGTTGATGCCGCAAGCACCATCTCCAAAAGGCAATGCTGGGGCTACACAAAGGATACACCTATCTATATGAAATCGACTACTATCCAGTCTCAAACATATCCGACTATGTACGACAAGAACGGAAATACAACACCGCTTGTTGGCGCGGACACGGCAAAGAAGAGATGATGCAGGCTTGGGTGCTAAGGCGATCCACAGACAGTCTAACATTCAACGTATTCACGTATCGAAGGGGGACGTTGCCATGAAATGTATAGGCATGAACGGGATGGATTGCCCTGTGCATAAAGTTGGCCGTAATTGTACCAAGAAGAGCGGCCACCTTCAACACACGGGTCGATCTGACGATGTTGTCAAGCTCGTTGAGGAGCAACATTCATGGGCTCTCCACCGCTACAAGTTGGTGTGGCATCAAATGTGTCTCTTCAAAATGAAGTGCCTCTCGCCTCACCCCCTCTGCGTGTCCCTCCCCTTGCTCCTGCTGCTGCTCCTCCTCCTCTTCCTTCATTTGGATGCCATCGATCCCAAGAGTGGCCTGTTAACACCATCCAACACAACACGGTCACTGCGACATGTGCTAGCAAGAAGCTGAAACAGCATTTGCCACCATTGTACACTGTGGGGAGAGATAGGAGTTTCTTCATGGTACAAATTTACATAGTACAATAGTCTTGAAACGCCTCAAAGAATCATAACCACTTCTCCGGGCTCA